GAATGCCTCCAGAAAGGAAGGCTAAGCAACTGTTCCTTACAAATCCGACCGGCAAAATGCCCAGGGGACGACCAAGATTAACCTGGCGCAAACATATGGAAGGAATCTGTTCCAGACTGCATTTGTCTTTTGCCGAAGTTCAGACTCTGGCATAGGATCGGGAACGTTGGAAGCTCTGTCTGACGAGTCTGCGTCCACAACCCGAAAGGAGAAGCAGCGATGGAAGATGAAGATGAATATTATTGCTTTAAAGTCTTGCCTTTTACTTCGAACCTGATTAACTACTAGAAAATAAGCTCCAGTTGGTAGGGCTTCTTGAATCATAGAAGCATGCAAGCCCCATCGCCACCGCAATAACATAAAAAGAAAAAGAGGACGACATGGTAAAGTCATACAATGGAGCCATTTTAAGAATAACATATGCGCTAACAGAGACCCCTTCCCACGTTGGCAATCTACGGTTACAATAACTTCTGGATATCAACAGAGTCAAAGTGGCGATGCATTTTAGAGTCTCAGGATCTGACGACATTGTGAAAAGTAACGATTTATGAAGCTGATGTTGTCGTCATCTGAGGAAAAGGGTGAGGGACAGAGTACCAAGATTAATGATCTTTGACGCTTTGGCTTCTCAGAATGATTTAGGCAGTGTTGGATATGGCGACAATAGTCATATTCCTGTTCGCAAGCAAGTCTGCCTCTAGCAGCTGCTTTAGGATGCAATGTTGGTTTGTGGCCCGTGTACGGCAATCTTTAGCTTCCCAGAAGAAAACGGTTTTGGGTAAGTCTCCATTCTCTCCCCCGATGGTTCTTTCAAATCACGACATTTGCCGGTCCCTGATTTCTTCAGACAGCACTCTCAAGCCGCCAGTCTCCAAGATCTATTTATTCTTTATTCGATAGAACCATCACACTTTCAGAATGTTTGTCAGACAGTGCTGCTGAAAAGTGTCCAACATTTTTTCACGGGCCTTAAAATGATGAATATTTCGAGGCTGTGCATAAGAACTGAGAAGACGGCAGCTTTCAACATCGTGATTTTTATTGGTGTCCGGACTGATAGGTCTTGCCAGAAGCTAAAAAACGGTCGTCCGAGGTTCAAAGATGCCAGCCTCAAACTCCGCTCTACCTCAAAATCGCAGCCTGCCTTTTACCAGCATAAAGCCATGGTATTTGAAGTTTTCGAACTTCTCGATGATCATTCCCCTTCAATGAATCTTTGA